ACGCATACAGTCATAAACCTCCTAGACCGTAATGGGTTCCACATTCACCTTCCGTGGTTCTGCGTCAGCTGTTGGCTTCAGATGAGTGGCATCTGGTTGCCGCGACAACTGTTGTTCGAAGTACTTGACCCAGCCGTTGAGGCCCACTTTAAAGATGGTCACTCCCTTCTGATCCTTGATGGTTTCGATCACCGGTGGCTGCCGGAGACCGGTCGCACAGATCAACTAAAATAGACTACGGACACTCTTGGCTTTCTGGACCTGTTCCATTTCTTTAGTTTCCGAAGTCCACCAAACTTCACGGTGGGTGTGCACACCCACTTTCACTTGACTTCTGACAATACCGGATATTCCTCCGGGATTTAAGCGGTGAGCCTGGTAGCACCATGCCACGGGCAAAACTCCCAGCACGGTGCAAACAGGTGGCGAATTTGTCCCAGAATGGATTCACATCTGATGATGGAGCAGAGAGAAGGAAGAGACTCTACAAGACGGATCCGTCAGTCTCTCAGTTGCCAAGCGATTTGTCCGCACCTTAAATGGACCTGGAAAATGGTGGGAGAAGCGACTCCGAACGAGTGGGTGATCAGAATCTGCAAACGAGCTTCAGTCATTTTTGGATCCGTGCCATCGGTAACTGATGACAACGTGATCAATGACTTCGTTGTTGGACGTGGCCAGCGCTCCAAAAAAGCAGCCGGCGGTCAGCACACAAGTGAATCAATCGTTCGCCATCGTCATACCTACAGAGATCAATTCGTGTTGACCGCCTAATCCATTATCAGATGCACTAAACCTATCCACTTGTGCATGCAGATCTCCAGTAACCACAGCTATATCCAAGCTTTTAGCTCACCGTAACAAGGCATTCAGGGCGTCACAAAACTTGCCTTTGATGGTGTCAGAACTACAGTCGGTTGTGGCGTAAGCAGAAACGACAAACAGAAGTCGACCAGCTCCCCTCCCTCACAGACGTTACCGCACACAGGTGACTATCAACGCGTGAAATGCGGAAATCTCTTCGATGCGAAGTCGTTTATTGGAAAACACCAGCTTATCAGTCACAAGCCATCGGTCAGGAAAGTAAACGTCTCATATACACATAGTTTTTAAGAACCGAGCATTCTCATGCGCCTTCTTGAACTTCATCGATGTTCGCTGACTATTACACAGTTGTATACGAACATTGCAAAACAGCTCCACAAATTCCGTAATGAACTCCACATTCTATTAGACAGGAGCGGATATTCGACGCAACCACAGACTACTGACATGTTTCATCAGCAGTACACGCCGTTACGTCGGTATCGGTGGCTGCCGGAGACCGGTCGCACAGATCAACTAAAATAGACTACGGACACTCTTGGCTTTCTGGACCTGTTCCATTTCTTTAGTTTCCGAAGTCCACCAAACTTCACGGTGGGTGTGCACACCCACTTTCACTTGACTTCTGACAATACCGGATATTCCTCCGGGATTTAAGCGGTGAGCCTGGTAGCACCATGCCACGGGCAAAACTCCCAGCACGGTGCAAACAGGTGGCGAATTTGTCCCAGAATGGATTCACATCTGATGATGGAGCAGAGAGAAGGAAGAGACTCTACAAGACGGATCCGTCAGTCTCTCAGTTGCCAAGCGATTTGTCCGCACCTTAAATGGACCTGGAAAATGGTGGGAGAAGCGACTCCGAACGAGTGGGTGATCAGAATCTGCAAACGAGCTTCAGTCATTTTTGGATCCGTGCCATCGGTAACTGATGACAACGTGATCAATGACTTCGTTGTTGGACGTGGCCAGCGCTCCAAAAAAGCAGCCGGCGGTCAGCACACAAGTGAATCAATCGTTCGCCATCGTCATACCTACAGAGATCAATTCGTGTTGACCGCCTAATCCATTATCAGATGCACTAAACCTATCCACTTGCTTCAGTCATGGATCCGTGCCATCGGTAACTGATGACAACGTGATCAATGACTTCGTTGTTGGACGTGGCCAGCGCTCCAAAAAAGCAGCCGGCGGTCAGCACACAAGTGAATCAATCGTTCGCCATCGTCATACCTACAGAGATCAATTCGTGTTGACCGCCTAATCCATTATCAGATGCACTAAACCTATCCACTTGTGCATGCAGATCTCCAGTAACCACAGCTATATCCAAGCTTTTAGCTCACCGTAACAAGGCATTCAGGGCGTCACAAAACTTGCCTTTGATGGTGTCAGAACTACAGTCGGTTGTGGCGTAAGCAGAAACGACAAACAGAAGTCGACCAGCTCCCCTCCTTCACAGACGTTACCGCACACAGGTGACTATCAACGCGTGAAATGCGGAAATCTCTTCGATGCGAAGTCGTTTATTGGAAAACACCAGCTTATCAGTCACAAGCCATCGGTCAGGAAAGTAAACGTCTCATATACACATAGTTTTTAAGAACCGAGCATTCTCATGCGCCTTCTTGAACTTCATCGATGTTCGCTGACTATTACACAGTTGTATACGAACATTGCAAAACAGCTCCACAAGTTCCGTAATGAACTCCACATTCTATTAGACAGGAGCGGATATTCGACGCAACCACAGACTACTGACATGTTTCATCAGCAGTACACGCCGTTACGTCGGTATCTAGTCAGGCAAGGATCCTTCTGCCCGGTGACATAGGACAATGCCATCTTCTCCACTTCCCGCCACAGAAGCCTACAGATCATCAGAGTTGTGTCGCCGGAAACGACTGGAGAGTGATGGGACGATTAGCTCAACCACTGTGCTTGCATCTTGAATTCTTGTTTCTCAGTGACAGCACATCAATGCCAAGCGAGTCCAGTGTGAGAGCAACAGAAGCTTGTTGTCCCGATCGCTTCAGAGTGCGGATATTGAAGGCCCCCCAGATAAACTGGGCGTTAAGATTTATTTTGAGATGCCTGAGGATGTCGATTCCATGTGACGAGATGTTGCATTTAAAACCGACGAAAGTCTAGTGGACCCACCAGCCACAACTGCTTGGTCTACAAGGAGAGTTATTAATGGGGTAGAGAGAGGAAGAAAAAGTATATGAAGGGGAAAGAAGGCAGGCGTAAGCAGTAGTGTTTTTCGTTCAACCGCCCCGCTGTATTCTGCAAGTTAAGCGACCCGGCTGACGGCACCACGCATCATCATCATCATCAACGACAGCATGACATCAGTGCTCAACACCAATGCTTCACTGCCGTACAACCATGACTTATTTGAAAGCCTTATTGTAAAGAAAAGAATAAAGGTGGATGGGGGAGGGACTTAGTGCTAGCTTAACACAATCATTCCGAGGTGCCTACACCTCCAGACATTCATTCAGGCAATCTGGACAGAAACTGACAACAAGAACGCCACTGACATCGGTTGGCAGCCATATCCTGTAGTGTCTCCAACCAGGCGCAGTGAAGATCACGCGGTCCCCATCCTGGAAGGCGAGTAGAACCCGAAAGTCTAGTGGACCCACCAGCCACAACTGCTTGGTCTACAAGGAGAGTTATTAATGGGGTAGAGAGAGGAAGAAAAAGTATATGAAGGGGAAAGAAGGCAGGCGTAAGCAGTAGTGTTTTTCGTTCAACCGCCCCGCTGTATTCTGCAAGTTAAGCGACCCGGCTGACGGCACCACGCGACGGCCGATGTACCATGAGTTTATTTGTATGTGGGCAATTCATGGTTGGGATACTGCCGTGGCGCCCAGACCCAAAGAGGACGATGGTTAAGGTCCGTAAACAGGTTTTGGCTCAGTGGCCTGGTCTTCAGGCAGCGTTGTTTATCGGGAAATACAAGTGCATTACCATTTTTACAGAACAAGTTGGAACACATGTTCCAGCCCCTAACCAAGAGGATTGAGAGACTGTGTTCGTCTGACCTCTTACTTGATATGTGAGACTCTGCGAATGTTGCATGGACGTCTCCAGTATGGCGCTCTCGGTTTCATAGGCACACAATCCGTCACACCACAGTAATGCCTAGTCTCTTCGTGACGGAGAATAAATTCAGTTTTCCGCTACCCTGTTTATAATGTGTACCGGACTCGCCCAGCTTAGCTAGTTGGGAATTCGAGGTATGTTTTGTAACCTGAAGTTAAAGGGACAACTTGGAGGAGTATTTGCTGTTCAAAGACTGTGATCTCATATTCAGTCCGCACCCTGATTAAGAAGGAAACACGTTCCAAAAGTCGCTATCAATGTATCTTCTATACATGGTCAGCCTGAAGTAGAATGATTTCCGATGATTTTCCCAAAGTATTCCGAATAAGTGAGGTTCCTTACCATCACTGCAGGATTATGTAATGAGCAAGTGGAGCACTAATTACTCTTTTCGAGCCCCTTCTCTGATTGAGGCACTGATTCCCCTTAATGAAGCTATGCCTAATTACAGCAGTTCTTCTAAATGTAAGCACCTCTGCGAAAGTGGGTAACGGACCTCTCTGTGTAAATATAATCTCTTCGGGTGTTTCACAAACAAAGTTGCGAGTGATGGAACTCTTCGGGAGCACTGCAGATAAGAAAGGATGAGCTTACTTGCTTGTATCTGACTAGGACTTCTGAAGTGTAGATACTCGGTCCTACTTGCCGCAATCACAACACTCACTATGGGATGAATTTCAGTTTAATTGGTTAGGCTGCTGAGCATAGGGGACCTATCTTTCCGGAACAGTTCACTACCACATCAAGGACGTTTCGCCACGCATGCAGTAAGACCGAGTAGAACTATTTGATATCATGATTTTATCTCCGACTCACTGGAAGCTTCAAGAGACTGTCCATTGCCATTTCACCCATGTGCTGGTCAGTCTGACAGTCGCTAGGGTGTTACGTGTTCTTAGTACGCGCTATTAAGACAAAACTATTGTAAGCTTTTCGGGTAAGAAGGGTTTGATTGTTGCCTCAGTCGATTCGCAGTACATTAGTTCGAATTGGTTGCTATTAGCTGTCCTGGTCATTACAGTCCTAACCACATGGCTTTTAACTATTCCCAATCTCTATCTTAGTTTCAGACAATCCCGAATCAGATGAAGGTTACAATGGAAGCGACGAGCAGGACCGCCTGAAGGGCATGCCAGCTTCCTTCCAACATGACGAGGACGAATTGGATTATTCCCTCGTTTATGATGTACACAGTGCGGAACATAGAGAATATGATGTTTTGTTCCGAAGTCGAGCGGGTAAACGTAGGAGGAGGCCCGGAAGAGAAGGTGCATTCCATGTTGAGCGGTTGGATAAAACGAATGTCGAAGAATCCGCTTGTTCTCAAGCCAGTCTGTTCCTGAGAAACACCTTATTTTCTCGCCCTACCTGCAAGGGAGTCAGACGTGCAGAGCCTGAATTACTAATCAGTTTGGCCAAAAAACAAAAAGCGCGGAGAAAACGGTGATTTTTCGGATGACTTTTTACCAATTGCCATGTACAGCAGAGTCTTGCAAAACACCGTATGCCTTATATCTTCTTGCATTTGCTCTGGGTGATCTGTTTTCCAGTGTCCTAGCACTTCCCTCCTTAGGAGCTCAAGCGGAGGTCTTCTAAACAAAAATCCTTCTCCATCAGAGTGCCTCGTGACAGCTGCGAGTCTAATAGTCGACAATGAACCAACACCTGTTGGTACGTTGCTAGACTCTAAGGTGAACCTACTAGACGATGCCGTCAACCGTCGTCCAATAATATAATGACCAATAAGCCTTCAGCTTTGACACTGTATACTTAGCTGCTACGCCACCAGAAGCGAGCATGAGGGCTGAGGTAGTGTCCTTTTGCCCAAGCCTAGACAGGTGCAATCGTGATGTTGAGGTTGGGTTCGAACCACGAACCTTCCGGTCAGTAAGCTGGGGCCTTAACCACTGAGCCATCTCGAATTTCGAGTGTCATCCTGTTGCGCTTGGTGTTTCCGGTAGCCCGCACGAAGTAATAGCTGTGGATGGACTACCCCATCCCTACTATCTTGTCTCGTTTGACAACCTTCCGTGGATCCCTCTTCCAATTTAGGATAAGCACTCTGTCAGTTTTCACTTTTGAGTAAACAAGTCCGGCTATAAGTAGTGTGAACTTTGCTCTGTCTGCTTGCGCTTACTGCACACTACATTAAGGCTTTATTATGGGCTGACCGTCCCAGTCCCGGAACTGATCCCGTGACAGCTGTACATTTACCAGCAGCATCATCCAAAAGCATCGCGCTTTTACTTTTCGGACCAGTATTTGATGCTCGTGTCTTCGCTTTTTTGATGTTCTGGTGTGAACCGATGCATCCGATTGTTTACTTACTGTGGTAACCATTGAGTATTCTGCATTTGCGCAGTTCTTCGGTGTTAGCAATACATCTCCTAGTAAATTCGACGGATGCGTGTTTGGGAAATGGAGTGAAATGTCCGTATTTGTCAGTCTAACTCCAAGTCCGACAGGGTTTGTGTGCGATTTTCATTCTTTCTATTATCCCAAGACTTTCATGGTGATATGCTTATGTCGTCACACAAAAAACCACGCATTAATAGCGGTGCCGTAGTCTCGTGACAGACCAATGAACTATACACCATCATTAGGGGTTCCATCAAGAAAGCCGCTGTAGGTAGTACTATTGAGGAGAATGTTGATAGCCCATGTAGCGTAGATGGCGTTGGTCTGGACAACTACAAACGTTTCATCATAAATCGAGGTGACACCATCAGGGCGTCGTTGGGGAGCGGAGGTGAGCAGTGTCAGTGGTTGTTCCTGATCCATCAACAACCGCTGATTCATACGTGCAATTGAATTGCTCAGCGAACAAGCCAGTGACCAGCTGCATGCTATATATCATTCGTAATTCGATCCTACTCGGAATGAAACTAATCTTCTACTGAAAAGCAATAATTTGATGACTGAAAACACCATTCTGATGTTATGTTAATTGGGAGACAACCTGAGGTGAACAAGTTTAAAGGGTCGTTCTGTGCACAGTAACTGAAGGCCGCTTTCAGACACTCACACGCGCTGCACTAAGTCGCGGTGTATGGGATTAGTTTTGCCGATAATGAACACATCGGGCCGAACGATACGCAGTTTTCGGTTGAGCTCAACCGACATATAAAGCTAGGTGGTTTCAGCGATGAGACTAAGTAAAACCGTGTGTCCTCATGCGTAAGAAGGGCAGATTTGTACCAAAGGGCGACATTAACTGCGCCATACCTCGGATGCCGTACTCTTTTCTGGAGTTGAGTTGAGTGTTTTCATTTCATAAACGCCTAAGAGTAAGAGGTAGACGTCCTTCAGTGAACGAACCTCAGGTGTTGACTGGACGGCATTAGAGATAACGGGGGCCTTACTATATTCGTGTGAAGCTTGATGGCAGCGCACTAACACTGGCTGGAAACGACAAGCAACAAAAGGCGAGTCACCAGTCATGTGGACATTTGATGTGTGATTAGGTGTATACAGACATACCTTTATGTGAATTTGCCGGTTTTATCGTCCTTTCATCTTGATATCAACATGAGCGTGAATTCGTGTATGCGCCTGCTTTGTTGTTGCTTTATTAATCCAACCGAAATAGCCGCATCTACATGATCCTGTCACTGCGCTGATAACGATGTTCTTATTAGCCAGATAGTTCTGCAAGACTTCCCATCTCTAATCGACCTCCTAGCCTTGTCGTTACTTCTTTCTCAACTGTTGGTGGTACGTACGATTGAGTTATTTAACGTATTTGCGCATCACTCAGGGTTAAAGTTCCGCCGATGGGCTTTACCCGCGCTTTCCGCTAGTTACTTCCAGCACAACATGCACTATCTAGGCAGCCCGAATAGAAAGTGACACTGCTGGTCACCGAGACCGATTACATACATTGTCTTGAGGGTTTCCTCACACACAAGAGCCCTAGCGCGAAGACGCCACAGCGCCAAACCTAATGGTAGGCAGTGTCGTTCCGCTCTCCTGTCAAAAAGGACTTGAAGCCTCGGTAACCGGTGGCTGCTCCAACCACCGAGCTCGAGTTAACTCAGTAGTCAAGGCTCGAAGCCACTGACCGGATTCGGACCCAACGCACTTTTCAGTTGCTCCTATCTAATAGGCAATCTCGCGGCACCTTCGAGTAGTACTGCAGGTCTGTGTCGATAGAGTGGCATAGCTGAACCAAACAAGACAAGCTTTATCTACCGTTTGTGATTCCAACCCATTAACTATTACTCACTACGAGCTACCTCACCGTGCATAAGCTCCGGCCAGCTAAAGCCTGTTACTCAATGAACAAATCGGTGACGCTCAGGGTCTCCGGATCGAAGGCCATAAAATAAGACTTACCTGTTTTATGGACATGACCCTTTGATTTTAACGAAGCACTTCACCCGATGTCGAAAAGCTCCACAGTTCGGTGGGTGGCCTAATGTGCATTTACTTGACCTGATTGAAGACAGCGAGAAAGTTAGTGTCGGAAGCAGTCGATTATTCTGCTAGGACTATTGAAAAGTTGCAGGACTTGTGGAAGCATCATTAGTTTGTTACGATGGTGTCCGCGTGGTTCTCTACGTGCTTGGCTTGACCAATTGAAATCAATGGGTGGAGATAGATAAGTGCTAGAGGTGCGAACTTACTGACCTGAATGTCCTTGTTTCAAATCCAACCTCGACAACTCGATTGCTCGTGTCTATGTTTGGGCAACCTGGCAGTATCTCAGCCTTCATTCCTTCTTCGGGTGGAATGACAGCTAGGAATCCAAATGGTGTTACAGCTGAACGATTACTGTTATTAATGGCCTTCGTGATGCCTATTTCTGTGCGGATTGTCTGACGGAGTGTCAGATATTCGTGACAGGCCCATCCAATTCCGTTTCGATTCTCTTCACAGATGGCGTTTTGTCCAAATTGGCCTGGCTGTACGGCAGTTGGGCACTGGTGTCCCAACAGTTATATTCTGTCGGTAAGGTTGATGTATAGCAATACCTAGTCTGAACACTAACTGGGACTCTGTGCAGTGAAAGTAGCTCCATTCAGCCTATGGAAGGCTGTCAAGGGTAAGCAATTCTCTAGTGTGAAGTCGTATTTACACGTGAGCGGCATTCCGGTACTTTCCGCTAACCTTGTTAAATGTGTCAATCGATACGTATTGTACTGGAACATTTGTGGATGAGACTTTTACTACCAGATTCAAGTTACACCTTGCAGGTACTAGCACTCACAAAGAACAGTAGATGTGTACTTATGAAACAAGGATGAGTAGAAACACATAAATTGAGAGCCCAGCGCAAACCGCGATAGAGTAAAGCCGCATACAGAGCACAAACACGTCTAACCTGTTTGTCGAATTGGCCTGCCCCAGGGAAGTCCAACAGATGTAAATAAGAGTCATCTGTTCAAATGAAACTTCCGCAAACTAACAACACGTCTGATCCAGAGTGCCAGCATACCGAGCCAATACACCGAATCTCGAACCCTGTTTTGACTGGAAATAAGTAGGTGACTCACTGCGTAGCAATAAGTTGAGTAGTCTTCCATTAGGAGACAACATCCTGAAGCGGTTGATCAAGAGATCGTATCAGAATCCTCTGTCTCAGCAAAAGCGAAGGCGTTCTCGTAACTGAGCTTTTCGGGACCCGACCGCACCCTTACTTCAAAAGGATGGAGCAGCGTGGAATATCAGTCTGCTACAACATAATTGGTTTTGCATTCTGCTCATAATGCATCATTTTATGGATCTGCCAGAAGTAGCGCTTATTGAGTTCGATGCTAGTCTATTATTCGGAGTCGTAAAGCAGCTCGTGATTCTATTGATATGGGTTTTGAGCTTTGGTTGGAATTCCCCTTACGGTTTTCCCGTAAAAGTCAAAATAGTTAGTTTAGGTCCGCTGTAACTGCCACCCTATTAAACAAAGGACGGATTAGCAAGTGAAGTAAAAACGCATGAAATTACGTCCGGGAAGGCCTATGTGACAAGAAACATCGGCATTTGCCTGTCTATTTCAGTTGATGCCAAAGTGAGATGGTAGCATAACATCTTACCCAGGAAAAGTCTCGCTCTTGATTGATGTTTCTGCGCCGCAACTTTTGGAGTAAAGCGAGAAGTGCAGAGAAAAGTCCCCACCATGTTTATTATGGTTCCTCCTCCCCTGGAGCAGCTACAAGACCACTTGACTGAATGTGATACGCCAAAGTACGGATGCAAAGGAAGCAAAATAACAATTTTTGTGACGGATCATATTTCCGATTGCTTTGTCAGTGTTCGCTTAAGTCACAACTTGCTTTTACCCGTGTCATCTGATATGCAATATGTAGCTGCACCAGTAGTTTAGATGAACACTAGGACTCCAAATAACACGTAGCCAATGAGTCTCTGCGTAAGCATAGTGGTCTGTACCCAATAAATTGTGTCAGTCCAATACTCAGGTATCCTATAGCATGCTGCAAATGTGGTCTCATTTTCTGGTGTTGTGTTGTCTGAAATGTAACAAGGCACGTTGTGTGACGCACATCAGGGCCCATGATGAGTGAATTAATTACAGCATTCTTATTTTGTTTATCGTAAGAGTGCTTGTCGAAGCTTATTGTACATACATTGGATTTCGAAATCGTGGCTCATGAGAGTAAGCAGCCATCCCCGGCGTCTGCTGAACGAATGAATAGACCCGCATTTTCATATCCGGAGAAGTGGCTTGTGCTCCGTACAAAATACCAGCCTGCTTCCCAACAGTATTTTGCGAAACTTTTTCGCACTGCACATCAAAGCAAGACCTTCTCTGTTCGGCTGTGGTTCATTTGTACTTGATCGTGTGTGAGGCGTGACATGCGGCCTTAGAACCACAATCCAAGAGTTTAAGCGGAAGATCCTCACCGGTACCGTGGCCAGCAACATCACTCGTTACAAACACAGACTAACTAGGGTTCAACACACGAGAAAAAGAGAACGGACCGGTCGGAAATGAGGGACAGAACAGGTGAAGTGGAGATACGAAATATTCAGACTATAATGCAACACACTCCGATAGATCCAATCAAATTATGTGCCAGCCACTACCCAAAAGTAACCAATGAGATTGCGAATACTAGCTATTCTTTACTTTACTTATTCATCTGTGGCACCCTTTCGATGCCTAACTGCAATGCCACCATAAGGAAGCACGAAAGCTGGGATACTGTTAGGTTGTCCAAGCCTAAACAGGGGAAGTCGAGAGAGAGAAAGAGGTCGGGTTCGAACCACGGAACGTCCTGTCAGTAAATTCGCGCTCTAACCACTGAGACATCTCGCCCCTTTAGAAACTGTGAGTGCAGGTAGAAATAGAGAATTACCCATCCAACTACGCGCTGATGTCTCTTCGCATGGTGACATAAAGTTTGCAAGCCAGTTGCCAAGCTCGGCGGACAGATCAGCTAATCATTCCATCTGAGTCACCAATATTTGAACACTGCCAATGACCACGACGAATAACTTGTTGAAAATTTGTATTCGTAAAGCAAAAGCATGAGGAGTATTGCAAAAGCGGGCATGAATAAAATTGTTTGGCACTGGCACTGCGTACAAAAGATCACCGTAGATTAACGCTCGTTCTCCAGCTGTTCTCGTAGCCACGCTTCGGAGAAGTCTTCGACATCCCGAAGTTCAAATACCTTCCACGAATAAATCTGGACAATGCAATGGAGACCTACCTTCCCGACCCCACTTTTTTCAACCACGCTTGGAAGGCTCGCTGTGTAAAGCATTTTCAACATAGGAGGGCAACCTGAAAAACGAAGTGCATCGTGTTCTGATCGGATTTTTGTTTCCACATAGCTGTTTCAACCACACGTGTTTTTGGGGGAAAAATGTCATGTCGAAGTAGATGCGTCAAGATCATACAACGTGAGAAAAAACTACTAGTCTGTGGTGCTACACAAGGGAACCTTCACCAACAGGTTACTCAAATACGCTTTCCAAACTGGGCCATGCATGTTCGATCCGACGGACATCCTGGTGATGGCTTAGCTCCGGACGATTCGATACACAGGAAAGCACGTATCTAGTTATGCGATAATAACAATAAAAACTACTGTACAACAGTTTCTTTAACGGATTGATCGTTTATTTTTTCCATCAACCCTGTGGCGATTCAACAGAAAATTAACATATTCCGTGTAACTGAGAAATAATTACACGGGTGTTCAGCCGTTCGTGGTTGAGCGCTTAAATGTCTAACCATGAGCCGTAAAGTCGCGGGTTTGAAACCCTCTGGGTTCCGCAAGATTCGCATTGCTGATGATTCCCAATAAGGAGGGAACAGCTATACAATGCTGCTTGGTTTTTCAGTATAGATTGGCTTCTCCGATGGGACGCAATCTCAAGAGAAAATAATGAGTAGCACCTGCTTGATACCGGTGATTTTCAGTCCGTTAAACCGGAAAATCTGCATAAGAACTAGAACTGAATAAATAGCCTCCAGAAGCAAGTAACAAATATCATAATTCATCAAGTTATTTACCAGACCAAGGCACTTGCTAAGCTTTGACGGCTGTAGTACGCATACCATACAATCAAGTTTGCTGAAACAGAACTATTTAGTAAGAAGAGGGGGGAGTCAACAGTAAATCGGTAGTTTCTTTAAATGCCATCGCCAACTGACATTCACTGGCACTAGAAAAGCTCCAACTGCGGATAGCGTTTTCTCCAGCATATACTCGCACTAAACATACAGCTTGTTCTCCTTCCGTTGTGTCGTCATCATTTAGCACAGTTGTTCCGCGTCTTGTAGCCATTGAATAGAAAAAGCATGCTGAAGCCTGGGGGTATATCCTTACAAAGTCACATGCATACTACACATCTTCCGGGGTGTAGATGGGAGCATTTCTGTCATGAAAACCCAACAGCCGCAGAACAGCTGGGAATAACGTCTTGCTTCACCGTTTCCTAGTACCTACAGTAAAACCGGTGTGAATAAAAGCATGAATGAAATTACCAACTAGCTTTCAAGCATTTGTTCTGAAGCTTTTCTAGAACGTTTTTTGCCCGTAAAACTGATTCAGATAACTGACTACACTTAGAAACGATTGGCTACACGTTTGCACTCCAATTTGCCAAAGGAAAGTGTGATTTGAAGTTGCCAACAAATAATACGGTTCGCGTCGACATTTAACGAAACTACCTGGTTAGAGTTAAATGTTTCCCGTTCAATGGATTTATAATACCAGCGTTTAGAAAAATCGAGCAAACTAAAACACAAGGGGGTTGTCGAGATAAGCGGAGTTTTACCTGCAAGGTGAAGAACTGTTCATCCTTTTCGGTATGGTCAAAAATCAAAGGGAAGGTGCATCTTATGAGCTACTCAGGAGGATATAAACCATCAACTTTATGGTTCGAGCACCGGCCTTTCCGCTGACCAGCCGCACAACCATCGAGTCACCGTTTTCACATAAGCCATTGTGTTAGAAAACACATCACGTCACACGGAGTTATTGTAACGGACAGTCAAAAATATTCCAGAAGAAACATGGGTTGAACTGAGTTCACCTGTGTCATTCCCTCAACCATAAAAGTACACAGCCTTTTATGTACGGCAGTGAAGCATCGGTGTTGAACACTGATATCATGCTGTCGATGATGATGATGATGATGCCCAAACCAGGCCGTTGAAACGACCCGACAATAGTTTGAAAGTACTCCGTGTTTCGCCTCCGCAATTGAACGCTGGCTCGTGTGGCGCTTCCTGCGATCGCCTCTGTTTCAACCATGACTGAAATACCGAGATGAGTGTAGTTCGGCGACTTGTTCGGACTTCGTGCTTTTGTCACCACCCAGGAACCATCGTCACATTTTCAAATTTCTGC